TACAATAAATATAAAAAACTTACAAAGTTCAAACCCACTAAACGGGGGCTGAAAATAGTAGGATTACGTCGGAGGAACCAGGCAAACAACGACGAAGGCGAAAAATCAAACGCCTACATCAAATTGAAATATCGAACATAATTTTTAAACACTGAAATTAACATTTTATTAACATCAAGAGTAACATATAGACACAATCTTGATTAATCAATGCAAGTTTAAATTTTCACATTCTTCGAACCATAAAAAATGACTAAACTCGAACAAAATTCCCTAACAAAATCCCCAATATTCAACTCCTAGAGCATCAAAATTCTCGTAACTCAATCCAAACACATACTCGATAAGCAAAATAAGAGCAATAAAATTTTCTTGGACGTGCACATTTGATCTTCCAATTTCTATTTTCTTCTTCCATTTTCTCGGCAACCAAACAAAAACAAAATTTACAAAAAGAAAAAAAAAGAAGAAAACCCAAACCTCTTCGAAATCCTGGCGGGGGCAGGGCGGCGGGGGTGGGGCGGCAGCGGCCGGAGAGGGGAAGAAGAGAGAAGGGATCAGAAGAGAGAGAGTGAGAGAGAGAGAGAGAGAGAGAGAGGAGAGAAGGGAAGAGAGAGAGAAAGGAGGGAAGAGAGAGAAGGGGAGAGAGAGAAGGGAAGAGAGAGAGAAGACGGCTGGCGGCGGGGGTGGCGGTGGCGGTGAGGGGAAGAAGAGGCAGAGAGAGAGAAAGCGTCGGGGGAAAATGAAGAGGAAGAAGCTAAGGTATATTAGATCAGACTTATTTGCGACGACATTGTCATCGCAAATAAATTTAAAATGTCGTCGCAAATACGTCACAGCTGACAATTATTTGCGACGACATTATCTCGTCGCAAATAATTTTGAGTCGTTGTAAATAATCATTTTTCCCGCGTTTAGTTTTTGGTGAAATCTTTAAAAGATTATTTGCGACGACAAAGATAAAATATCGTCACAAATAACCTGATATTATTTGCAACGACATTTGTCGTCGTAAATAATAAGATATTTGCGACGACTTGTCGTCACAAAAAATGGATTCCCTTTGACGGCAAAAATCTATGCCATTGAAATTTATGCGTCAAACTTATTTGTGATGACATTTAAGTTATTAATGACGACATACTTATTTTATTTCATGAAAAATAATTACGACGAAATATTGTCATAAATATTATATTATTTACGATGATAAATATCGTCTTAAAAAATATCGTTGCAAATGGTCTTTATTGTCGCAGTGATAATTCCGGTGTAGTATATATGCTCAACCTTACCAATCATTTTAAATGCTTTTTTGTATAGTTTCTCTTTTTTTGCTAATTGGTTTGGATCCGGAGAAAATCATTACGGACTGGGTTTGCTCCTCTGAGGAAATATTAATGAACATGCTTTTCTTGCTCTTTTTTTGCCAGGAGACGGAATGGGGAGGTTGTGGTGTAGATAATTGTACATAGAAAATAGATTAGAAACTAATTCAGAAATCTAATTTTTGGATGAAGTACTCGTATTTTAATTTTAATAAATATCTACGTACTTTCAATATTGACATATTATATATTCATATATTTAGAGAGAGAGAGAGAGAGAGAGAAATAATACATGGCTATCTAGCTAGCTATCAGCAGATTGGTACACAGCCTACATGCATGCATCAAGGAATTTGTCATCTAGCTTGTAAATCGATGCAAATGCTAGTCATGTACTTGTTAGAAGAAAGAGCACACGTTTTGGTTTCAAGTGATATCACTTCTCTGAGAGTAGGGAACAAGGGAACATAAACAATAATAATAGTAATAATAATAATAATAATAATAATAATAATAAAACGTTGTACAATAATTGTAATTGTCATTAGAATCTTTTTCTCTATGTTTTACTCATGACCTAACTAATTAGTATAGCAGGAGTATAAACACATGTACATATATTTATATAGTGGTTAAACACACACACATATATATATATGCGTGCGTACATATATTTATATATATCGCCAGTTGTATATATGACTTTTGTATCTCTAAAAGTACTTAGTTACAAGGGACGTTTTTCTTGTGGAAAAGAGGTGGGTTAATGAAAACCCCTATTCCCCTTTAAAAAAACCCTATTCATCTCATGGAAATTATTAAGAAATTGGGTGTTTGTATATCCCCTTAAAAAAAAACCCTATTCATCTCATGGAAATTATTAAGAAATTGGGTGTTTGTACCACCATGTTTATGTGATACATCCTTCCAGTAAATACTTTAGATTTGGATATTTTTTAATGTCAATTTTGTTTAATCTTCTTTCTCTCTCCTACTAATATTTACTATATTCGTGTTGTCACAATTACCAGAAAGACCTAAATCATCTACCTTAATTTTGTTTTTTTAGAAGATCATCTTCCTTAATTTTAATTTCAAATAATACTATTTTCACTGTTTAGAAAAAAACTATTTTCTACATTTAAATCCATTAAGGAAACTTAGAAAGGAAAAAACAAAAAACAACAGCAACGAAATCAACAATTTACTCTATTCGAAAGCAATCAACCAAATCAAAAAGTTATGAGAGATAGGAAATGTTGAATACGAAAAGAAATCTAAGAAGAAGATACCCATGAAGTTTTATATTATTATAATTAGCTAAGATATTTTACAATTCTAATAAAAATATTTCAAAGGTTTGATTAATTTTTTCATATATGATATTTTAAAACAAAATAAGAACTTGATTAGAACACACATATACATAGGTTCACACACACATATATTATTAGAATACTTGTTCTTCATGATATTGTAGGAAAAAAAGCCATGATACGTTTTTTTTATATGTTTGCGAGTATGTTATTACCTTTTTAAATTTTGTCAAATAAAATAAGCTATTATATTTCGAAGCATAAAAATAAAAGTTGGTGAACAATTAAAGTATATAATAAGAGAGAAAAATGAATAGTATAGGGAACGTTCATATTGAAAAATGATCCAAATGTTAAGTATTTATTAGAGGAGTGTACTGTATATGCATGATGATGTAGTACACATAGTCTACGGAATAATTTCTCTCCATCCTTCTTTAAATTTATTTATTTTTCCTTGGAATTATTTTTCTCTAGGCATATTTTCCACTCAGAATATTATAAGGAAACTCAACTTACAGACGCATATAATTTAAAAACCTCAAATGTAGAAATGGATATGGCATAGTTTTGTTTTCCTTGCATTTCCAAATGGTTAGGAAAGTTTATAGATAATCCTCAAAGGTCTTCAGAATAAAAATCGGTGAGGGGTTTAATTTACTTAATCTTCTACACTACCTTAGTTAAATGTTTGTATCTTTGTGACTGAAGTAAAGCCTTCAAAAACATTTTTCCCTTTCCGTGTAATTAACTCATTGTAGGACATTAACTTTAGTACTTCTGGCTGATCAATGCAAACAAATAAAAAAGACCAATCTTGCTTTTGTAAATTACCCATATTACCTTAACTCCAGAATCTATAGAAGATCTAGCACTCCAAAATTAGTCAAGATCCAACACAATCACCTTTTGGTTTTAAGTTTTCTCTCCCGCAGGAAGTTTCTCATAGATCTTTCTCCATCAAAAAAACCCAATCTTTAGGACCACTAGCATTGAATATATAGAAACTTTGCTTTTGAGAATAGAACTAGAAATAATTGTAAGAGAGTAAAAAAGTTGTAGATGATCATCATGATGATCATGACCCCTTTCTGTTTTCAACCCCCTTTTTTTTTTT